AGATGTGTCTTTGCTCTGGAAATTGTTATTGAATATGTTAATGCTGTAATGAAATGCTTCTTCTAATCATGTGGTTATTAAGTAAATAATTTTAAAAATATGAACAATTTTCCACCAATAAATTCAAGAATTCAACAACTTAGGAAAAAGACACCAGTGCTCACTTAATAACTCCAAATCTTTTTAAATTAAAAAATATTTTATTTACTATTTTCATGTGTATGAGGGTGTTGCCTGCATGTATATTAAGTGCGCCCATGTCATGCAGTGCCCACCAGTCAGAAAAGAGCAACAGATCCCCTGGAACTGGAGTTACAGATGCTTGTTAGCTGCCATGTGGGTGCTAGGAAATGAACCCAGGTCCTCTTCAAGAACAGTTGGTACTCTTAACCACTGAGTTCTCTCTCCAGCCCCCTTAAATCTACTTTTAATACTAAATTTGTAATATAAAAAGAATTATTCCAGTGTTAGCAAGATGGCTCAGTGGGTAATGGCACCTTCCTCCAAGCCTGATGACCTGAGTTCAATCTCCAGAACCCACCTACTGGAAGGAGAGAACTGACTCTTGCAATTTGTCCTCCAATCGACACACACACACACACACACACACACACACACACACACACACAAACAAGTAAATAAAAGGTAAAAACATTTTTAAAATAGAGTATTTCAGCTGGGTGTGGTAGCACAGGCCTTTAGTCCCAGCACTTGGGAGGCAGAGGCAGGGTCTACATAGAGATTTCCAGGCCCACTGGGGCTGGAGACCCTGTCTAAAAAAAAAAAAAAAAAAATTCAGGATCAAATTATAGCTAACAAGGTAATTCAAATTCCTTCAGAAAATTAAAAATGAAAAATTACTTCCAATTTACGCAATTAGGTTAGCATGACCCTTTTACCAAAATGAGAAAGTCTAAGACCAGTGTGAAGTTTAATTAAGCAGCAGCATATACTGAAATGAGTACGAAAAAAACCTCAGGTCAGACTGATTAGTTGGCTACAGAAATAGAGTAAAAGGAAAAAGACTTAAATCCAGTACTGTAATTACCTTTCTGCTAGAGTAATTCTGTCCCATATAACTACAATTATTACCAATAAAGGGCATATGTAAGATATTTAGAGGAAATCGGATATAGTGGTGCAGGCCTGAAATTGCAGCACTTGAAAAATTGAAGCTGACTGAACGTGAAGATTAGTTCAAGGCAAGCCAGGCTACACAGAATCTGTTTTCATGTGGCCCCTGGTAGGTCGACCATGCTCCAGTGGATGCCTCTAGGAGTACAACAGCATGGGGTGGTTTGGGGAGGAAATAAGGTGAGGAGTGGGGGTTCAATACAATCAAAATACATTGTATGACAATCTCAAGGAATAAAACAAAGTGTTAAAAAAATTGCTCACAGTCTCATTTAAGGGTGTGACTCTTGTTAGGTTAACCAGGCTCTAGTGGATGGATCCATGCTGAAAGGCATTTGGGGATACAAATTTAACTCTCTATAGGCCATATGTGTATACACACACACACACACACACACACACACACACACACACACACACACATAAAATT